TGCCGAGTGTTATGTTTCCTTCGTAGTGGACAAAATCGATGAAGGTGCCATGCTCCACAATATTTACATGGCGATAGCGATCAACGATCATTTGGGGGAGTGGGGGGGCCTGGGTCTTTTTGGGGATTTTCCGGCGTGTTGACACAGCGTTCCATTTTGGTGCGGGGTTGTAGTGTTACTGGATTATTGCCGAGTCATGTTTTAGGTTCGCAATGCGTTCACATTCATCGATCAAGTATTGCAACTTTATACTTGGGTCTTAATCAATTTTCGCCAACAACTTGGTACGAACGTCTTCGTATCAAGGAGCTCGAAGACCACAAGTGAAAACAAGGCATCGAAGCTGATTTTCTGTGAGCTAACCCAGGCAAAACCGTTCACATTCTCTATTGACCAATCCACCGTAAGTGACAAAATCGTCAGCGTCTTTGTTGTATACTGGGAGACAACTGAACCGAATATTGCATAAGGAAACCGTTTGTCCAAATATCTTCTTTAGCGTTTTGACCGTATCGGTGAACGTCAATGTTCGTGGTTCCGCCGAAAGTATGTAGTTGGAGTAACGGACATGTTCTTCCGGACCCAGTTTGCGTAACAGAAGACGAACTTGTGTGTCTTCATCGTAGAAGCCAAGCTCGAGCGTGAATATGTCCTCATAACGTTTATACCATGATTCGAAAGAGACCAGCATCAGGATCATGGTGAAAATTTGGTATACTGCGGACAATATGGTCTGCAGTGCACTAATCAGATGGAGTCGATAGACCCGTATCGGTCAGCCGCGTAGTCAGCAACTCCATCAAGCGTAAATAAGCTTGCATCATGATCTTGACGTCATCCGCGTTGGGGTCCTGCTTTGACAATGAGACACCCCCGTCGCCAATTTGTTATGTCACCAAATTGTTATGTTTTACGCGGCGTATATCTATTGCCTACTATTAGGTCGCACAGCACTAAATCACAGAAGAACGCCACAAGTGCAAAGACCACAAGATATAGCACAGTAACAATAGTAGCATACGGGAAACGATAACAGCGGACTAACACCAAGTCCGTGAGTGGATGATAGTTCTAGCAGCGGACACTACCTAGGCGAAACAAAAGACGCACGGTCGACTATGGATCTCTCAGGCCTCCCAAAAAATACGAAAGAGAAGACACGGCTTCAGCAGCATGGGATTTTAATGGCGTTGGGCACAAATCACAAGTCACGAGTCAACTTGCAAGTTTTACTCTGCATCTTATATGTGACTGAAAATAACATTGATCAATGCAAGAAAACAAATGGGCCAATGAAATACACAGTGAACAATGTTCAACCGGCCATAGGATGCGAATCAGACGGACGGAGAGAGTGAACATTGCGGCACGATGTAATATTATTGATTTATCTCCTCGAGATTACTATTGATCCGCGATGACCATAATTTGGGTCAAATGTGTTGTGAAGTTGTTTGATTTTGCTCACAGTATTAGCAAGTATGCAGCCGGGTTTATCGTAAGACGA